ACAACATGCACGCCTGTATGTATACTTGATAGTGTTTGCTTCGAACTCGCTTTTGTGGCTGTTATTGAATGCTGTGATATTTCAGGCGCAATCCAGAAATTGACCCAACCATTGACGTAACTTACTTGGTGGAAATTGCCTTAAAGTTAGAGGAAGACCAGAACACCCCCAACGATGATGCTGTGTAAGTAATCCATATCTTAAATTAAACTAGATTTAAGGTAACACCCACTACATAATTGGTGTGTTTAGTATATTTGAGAATGAATCTGCAATATGCAATTTTGACTGTATACATAACTTACTACACAGATGCGCTTTTTGCCTGGAGACAGCCGTAACAAACACCGACGACCCACAAAAACCTTGCCGTACAAGCATGTATATCATACTGCTTGCATAGCTAAATGGCTCAAGTTAAATAACACATGCCCAGAGTGCCGGACCCCGGTAATTGAGACATGATCTTATGCTTGTACAGTTTTCGACGTTATATATGTAGTGTTGTCATCTCTCATTTGCAGTTCTGTAAAATAGATAAAATACTAGTATAGTCTACTTACATTTCTTTATGTACTTATGTGGCTATATAGTCTATATTTATTTTTCGTTCACGTCTTAGACAACATTAAGGTTACATGTTGGAAATTTTGTCCGTCCTTTATTAATTCTGAACTACCTCCATACAGCCTATCTGTGTGTGGTTATCTTGTAACACGATACTACCCGCTCAAGGACGAGGTAAAATAGTTGCTAGTTGTGTTTTCCTCAATGTAGATACGTCACTTAAGATCACGGTGATTTGGCCTCAGAGTCAATTACGGTGATAGCGTGGGCTCCTTGCAATTCTACTTCCTACAAATTCACGGTAGATAGTCATCTGGTTATGTGTTCGGACATAACTATTAGTTCTTTGGATTTTAAGCTTCAGAATTTAGAATTTCGTAAGTCACATGTCGATAACCGCCCCGGGTGGATCGCTATTGGTTGCGGTAGCCCCTGGAAACGACGGAGACGTTTTCAACGCCCTTGCCATAGCGACTAGTTTTGGATTTCTTGTGCAATTGCATGAGCAGGCAGTCCGCTCAACAGGTGTATTGTATAAGGTACTTTGGTTCGTCCACCCGTACGAACGAGAAAAGGGCAGTTAATTGTATTGTTTGAGATCCTATGTGGTACCGATCAGGTGCCCCTGTACCGAGGTACCACCTCCGTTGCTCCAGCCCCTGCCGGTACACCCGGCTTTCGACCTTGGGGAAGAGGAGGTTCTCGTAGAACCCATTGATCAGACCTCGCCAGCGGAACAGCCGCCGATGGTGCCGGCATTTTCAACAGTGTGCATGCGGGCATGTCGAGTCGCCGCCCGAGGGTCAGGAGTCCCATCTAGGAGCATTTATCTATGTCTGAGGAAGGACGTCTTGGGTTTGCATGGGCTCCACAGAGGGAGAGGCTAGTAGTTCCCGTGGGCCACGAAATGGTCGTTTTCTGTAAAGCTAGGACTGGCCAAATGGTGCCCCGAACACTGCCTTGATTGTACTCCCAGAGGCGGGGACCCTTCCAAAGTCTTAGTAGCAAGGACCTATGCCAATGAACGGCATAGTCATGTTCCCATCCGGCTTGCAAATGTTTCTAATTGTGACGTAACTCTAGGACCTAGAACCGAATTGGGGGAGATTCCTTGGACGTGGGTCGTGACCATGTCCACACCCAAACACTGTTCTTATACATAAGGACCACCTCTGTGGTTGACAGTACTAAGTCTATCTCAGTGTGGCAGAAAGGTTGACGGGTTCTGCGAAGAGACCAACACCGTGTACGAATACAGCGGATGTCCCTACCATGGGTGTCAGAAATGTTTCAAGCCACACGGTGAACCCAGTAAATGACACGGTGATGATTGAACTGTACGCGGACACCTTGCGAAAGAAGAGACTGATACGAGCAGCAGGTCTCGCGAGTTTGAGGAAATCAAACAGAACGAACCTCGCTACGAAGACTACCGTGTTCGGTACATGGGGAATGGCTTTACACCGAATTCCAGCACCAATTTCATTTGATGTCGCACAACATTGTGCTAGTTCACCGTCCTCCATCCCCACCCTATATTCTGTGTGTTTTCCGTGCCTGTCATCACATCTATGTACCATCTTAACAGATCCTTCACTTCCCAGCATGGAAATTGCCTACTAGTCGAGACACAACACCTTCTGACAGCATACTTCATGCTATACAGATGTGAAGTTCATCTAGTGAGATGTTCTACCATGAAGCCTTGTGCAACCATCAATTGAGAAAGACACACTGATGGCCTACGGCCTTGGATAACGGCTGGCCTACATGCATTATGTACGCGACCGCTAATCCCAACCAATAGATTGAACAAGCCTTCAATGGTGACCAATATTGGACGTAAAGTGACTTTAATGTAACTTACTATATGTCGATCATTCATAGTGTGCCTTTCAAATTTTAACAGGAAAGGCTAAGCGACAAGGGCAACCCTGAAAATTGAACTGAGGCACTAACATCCAACAAACCCACCTACCTAAGCTGAACAAGCCCCCACTGAGCCAGAAGCACAGTCCCCGAGGTCTGGGTTTCCAAGAGGCTTGACAGCTTTTAAACTTTAAGATAACCTACATAACTAACACACCCCGAGTAAGCTGGATGTTGTGCCATTCCCAGTTGCTATTTTCAAGGACTGATTGTGTTTTCTACGTGTTTCTGGCTGCTGAAATGTTTATCCAGATGAAGACTTCAGGTATCACCAGACCCATGTTCCTGGCTGACACGTCTGTCTTGTCACAATCCTCTCTGGGTTGACCTATACAAAAGAAATGAAAGACATATTTTACAAAAATGTCTTTTACATGAAAATAAAATCAACATATGAAAGAGGGAACCTATCATATTTAACCATGTGCATTGTACCCAGTACTGTAGTAGCGAGAGGTACACATACTATATTACAGTTGTATTCTTATAGAACTCCAGTAAAAGCTTGCATCTAAAAATCTTAAACTGTTTATGTGGGAAGCAGCTGTCCTCCTGACCCCCTGTGGTCTACCTAGTATACTAGTATTAACAAATTATAGGCAGCATATATCAGACTGCAAATTCCCATTACACAGGTTTGTTTTCCATCTCATTATAAAGACGACTTTATTCCATATCTGTGCACCTTAGCGGCCAAGCTGTACTTCCCGGGTTGTTTGTGTTCACTGTAATTTATGTCTATTATGACTAGTTTCTTGACTCAGTAAACACACAGAACCCAACCAAATGCAACACAAACTGGCGTATACAGGCACTAAAAATTCCACAAATACATCACATCCACATTGTCCAGTACAGAAAGCAACAAAGGCTACATTGCAAGCAAAGAAGAATTTCAGGGCAACGGCTTTTATTTCCAGTACTTGCGTTTACCACGCCACGAAATATTCCTTGATTTGAACGCCGAAAATGACCCTCACGAAAAGGAAGGCCCTCACCAGTAACAACTACACATCTAAACATACTCTGGAACAGCTATTCTGTACGACAACTGCATGTTTTTGAGAAAAAAAATTCTACGAGAAGCAAGCAGACAAGCGCCAGTCCTTACCTCACGATGGCCGGCCCTGCACTGACGCTACAATCTGCAGACGATCGCAGGATCACAATGATATCCATCCGCTCCGACATCTGGACGGTCACATCATAACAAATAAAGCGCAAAAATGTCGTCTGTAAAGCCAAAATTTAGATTCATCAAACCAGTATGTGTTACCTGTCAAATCAGCTGTATATTTGACATTATTTCGTTGCTAAATGTGTCCTATTTGCCACGCACTACTTTATGGCGGCAAATGGATACATTCTGTCTGGAGGGAGATATACGGTGGAGCATAACCAAAGCTTTGAGGCTTGTTTGGGGTTTTTATAAAACGGCGTTCTATTCAACATTGTCAAACACACAGTACATATTACACATCGACCATCCTCGAATATTTCCTGATGCCAGTATGTGTTAGCTGTTAAATCAACTACATATTTGACATACATGTATTTGTTACCCGTTACATGTCGGAGCGGATGGATATGTGTTCTGTTTGCCTCGCACTACTTTATGGCGGCAAATGGATACATTCTGTCTGGTGTGAGATATTCGGTCGAAGCCTCGAGGCTTGTTTGGGGTTTTATAAAACATCGTTCTATATAAAGTATATCAAACCGTGCATATTATGGTCCGATTCTTCTTTCTAAATGTCTTCAGCCTATGCAACCTTCCAGAGCGTAATAGCTCCAAACGCGGCCACTTGAAAACATGCAAAATGTGTTTTGTGTCATGGAAAGGTGAGGAAAGCAACAGAAGACACTGCACAAAGACACGGATGTACAAGTTTATTTGGCTGACCATGCACAAAATCCCTTAACGCCGTGTTTCAAAACATTTCAAAACGTTTGAAGGGCAATAATATAATATTTCTTGAATTCTGCGTGCGTTTTGAAAATGTCTACACCGATAAAAGCAAAACACTTGGTTAACATAAATACTCTGGTAATGGCACAGGCATAAAAGAATAGATAGATAAGCTGCTATGATATGTGTTTTCACCACACAGATCTAGAATTAGAGCTAGATAATCAATCATAAGATACATTAATGAAAATTCACTCTTAAATTACAGATTGTGTACAATACGACTAACTTCAATAGCTACTGTTAGGATGTGTATCAGGTGCTATGCTATACTACACTAGTGGTTTGGCCGTTTCTGGTTATCTGGCAAATTTCCAGGTAATATTAACAAATAAACAGAAGACAAACACTTACAAAGGCTAGACTATTTTAGGCTATTTTCCTTTCTTGTAGAGATTTTCCAAACAATTTTGTTTAGTTTGTTACATACAGCCAAAGCCTTGTATAGATTAGACAGCCATGAGATACAGAATCTGACCGCCCAGTGCAGCCGCTGTCATCCAGATCATGGCCTGGTCCTTGGAACCACAGCTTGCTACATAGAGCTCTGCAACAAAAACAAATAACAAATATGAACAACAGAAACATACTAATGCTAAGGTCACATTTCCAAACCGGCGCCCAGCCGGGTAGCCTTGTGGAACGAATGGTATGGTATGAAAGACAACAAAGCACGAAAAATGTTTTTGAAAATTAGATAGCTGCGTACTATATATTATTGATATAAAATGTTAATTTTTCGTTGGGTACACATTCACCACTATCACACTTGAAGTAGTTGGGCCAGGGACACGCTGTACAATTTTCCTAATCTGAACCATCTGTACAGTCATCACCCCCGTCACATTGCCAGTGTGGCATGGGTGTACGCATTCGCCACTATCACACTTGAAATCGTCGCGGTTGTAACACTCTTTGTTTATACAATCTTTCTCATCTGAACCGTCTCCACAATCATCAGCACCGTCACACAGCCAGTGTGAGGGGACACATTTACCACTTTCACACTTAAGATCATCGGGATTGTAACACTCTTTGTTGATGCAATCTTCTTCATCTGAACCATCTTTACAATTATCATCACCATTACACTGCAATCCTTGGAGTACACATTCACCACTATCACACTTGAAGTAGTTGGGCAGGGGACACGCTGTACAATTTTCTTCATCTGAACCGTCTGGACAATCATTATTACCGTCACATACCACAGCGAGAGAGAGGCAGCGGCGGACAATGCCACAGCCGAAAACGTCGGGCGACAAACAATCTGGAGCCGTACACTCTTCATCCGAGCCGTCGAGGTAATCTATGAAACCATCACACCTTTCAGTGCCCAATCGATGCATTCGTTAGTCGTTTTGCATGCCAAGGCGGGGCACTCTTCGTCTCTGTCGGCAGGACGAGGGGAGGCATGGCCGATGGACAGCAGGTACATGAAAAGGAGCAAGCCGGGTACCATGGTCAACTTTACGGTGGGAAATGTAGCTGACATTTTTGGTGTACCAGTCGTACCCTGGCACGGTGACGTCTACTCAGTCTAGTGCCACTAATAATCAGGTAAGTACCGGGCTTTGTGAATACCCTGTTTCACGTAAAGGCTTATAAAAAGTATAGAATTACAGGGAACATATGGGTACTAACCCAGAGGAATGTGAGGAAACGTCATCAAACCTTTTAATTAGAATTGCTACATTCTCTCGCTGTTAACAGAGTGAGTCACACCCGACTTTATATCAGGATATGTATTTAAAATTTCGTGCTGTTGACCCAAAGAGTTGATCTGAATGCAAAAAGACATCGGATAGAGATATCAAACATCTTCAGATCTGATGTATTCTTAATAATAATAAGCTTGCTAACTTGCGAATTTCGACAGACGAGCAAGAAAAACAGTAAGAAATGTTTTATGGTTTCCACATAAAACTGCAAATTGAAATTCCAGGTGGCACTCGCCTGTATAGGGCACATGTAGCTTATAAGCTATGTAGTCCCGTACTATACAGTGCAAGTCCCATATGCCGCCCCTTTGTTGCACGCTTAAGACACACGCAGTTACATGTATTAAGTCCCAATGAATTATTCTAATAACCGACCACTTTTGAAGTTACGGCCTGATAACCAATGCCAAATGGAGCCTTATGATTGGTCGACGCACGTAGCTATATGATAATGCACACTGAAACCAGCTGACGTGACTCTAGGTTGAGGTATGTAAAGTATCCCGCTGTTTCGTCGTAACTATCAGAAGGAGACATCGTGAAATATCTGTTGTTGTTTTTCTCGCTTATAAGTCTTACTATGGCAGCTATGGCAACCCAAAATCATTTGTAGGTTTAACAATGCATCTGAATGTCACCTTTATTACAGTTGGTTTGCGATTATATGAAGTTTTGGCTCCCTTTCAAATACATGAAATTCAATAGAACTCTTCACTGATAAGATAACGTTGAGTCGACTGAATTCTTTGGTTAATGATATGACAGAACTGAATGTAGCAATATTTTGATGACGGTCCCATCGCCCCGCATTGTCACGCATATGTATTTCTGCGCCATACCCACCTGTTCGTAAACGAGCTCGAGCGAGTTATGCACAAATGCTTGTTTTTGGAGAACAATATTGGTGAAAAATAATATGCTTCACTTTGCACCCATACAGGATGGGTTCACAAGAAACAAGCATTTCTCTATTTACATTGGTCAGAATATGAACCGTTTTGTAGACAGTACATTTATGTCGTGGATTATTATTATTATGGATATATAACATGCAATGAAGCTACTGCCGTCATCGTGGGCGGCCTTGAAGATCGTAATTCTTATTTACACCGTAATTAATACCAGCTCCCCATATGAAAGCTGATGATGGCATGCATGCAAACATATTTTAACCATTCCCGAAAATCGTTCAAAATTATACCTCAAACAAGAGCTCGATTACCCCATACCTTCGTCATGTATGAGTTTGGGTTGTCAGAAATGTGCCGCTGTATATAGTTTGACTTTTATTTTGCTTGTATGTTAACTAAAGCATGTGATTGTGAGTGCCTCCATACAGTACGAGCATCTGGTCGCCTGAATCGAACTACCTATGGACTAGAATAGCGGTGCCGACAAATTTGGATCTTCATAGTGAGTAGTAATATGCAAAAAAAAATCTGGGGTGCTAAGCTAGTGTCCTTGTTCTGTAGAGGAGGGGATTACTTTTATGCATTTTCATCATAGCGACATCTCACAGACTTCTTGCAGGCCAATGTGATCGTCGATAGCCGGCTACCTTCTCTCGCCAATTAATACCCTTTTCAGGCTGATTTTTACGATTTATTCGGCCTGCAAAAGAAGTCTGCAACTGGGAGACTACATTTTGAGAGGCAAATTAAATGACGACGGCTACTTGAGGTTTGACTACTAGTACGCAGTTCTTGTTCCAAGCCTTACTATTGATGAGTTACACTAGATTCCTTATAACACCAGAAAACATGCATTTACTTGTTATTACAAATTAAACAGTGAATAATCTAGCATAAAACAAGGAGTCCTTTTAATATCTTGGGATACATTACACATGAAGTGGTATTTGATAAATACAGTATTATTTTGCAATTGTTGATGTGTGCAATGCTTTGATTTTTTTATCTGAACGTTTTTAGCACTTTTAGTATGTAATTTTACATGTTAGAAATGATTGCGTATATTTTGGTAACTTATTACACATAAACATCTACACTATGTCATACTGCACGTAACAGTGCCCTAACTAGACCATCTCAGTGATGCATGAATAAGACTCCTTGCATGAATCCTATAGCTTAAATTACTATCAAAGTGAATATGAAGCTTACTCAAAGCATAATGCTTCATACTGAAAAGACAATATTGGTGATGAAATAGTATTCAACAATTCTTGGAATACACTCCTTCAACTCTTTGTTACATGATTAATAAAATCGTTTTGTCTCGAGTATTATATCCAACAAAGGTATGATGCAGTTCTGCCTTCTATGTATACTATTTTTCAGACTACCTTGCATGGTCTTCCAGGGCAGAGCGGATTATTTACAGCCTTATTTACAATTTTGTACTGTGGCATTATTCACAGTCTCTTACTGCCAGGTGTAGAGTAGCAATGACTGCCATGGTGAATGGTACGGTGGCAAGGCAGTATACATATATGGTCAACAATTACTGTGTCTGATTTAGTGCTATAAAGAACTACTGGCTAGAAAATATTTCAACTCTACATGTACATTCTACATTACTCTAAACTATACTCATGACGGGTACAGTGAGCAGTTGTACCTCATTATAAAACGTGTTCTATGACTACTAAAAAGAGTGTTGACTAAGTTACTTGCCAGGAATGTTACAATTCTACATATACACGCTACGATACACTACACTATATACATGTAGTTGATAAAGTAATCAGTTACTCTACTTATAAATGAATAAGTTACCGGTTGACTTGTATTCTGCTTTGTTCTGAACGTTATTTGTTTTGTGTCATTTCAATCCATCTGTTTTATCGCTTGAGTATGTGTGTATGTATTTATTTTTTATGTATCCAGGGACATCTGAAAAACAGGCCACAGACCTGAGTGTGATCCACTGGTAAAAATAAGATAAATGAAATGACATTTTGTATCTACAATCACACAGACCAGCCTCTTCAATACTCAAAAACACGCGGGCACAATGCAGGAGTTTACTCAGCAAAAGGCTTGAACTCTGGAGAGAAGCAAAGCTTGTTTCTGAAAGGCAATTACTTTCAAATTGTATTAGCAACGTCATGTGGGGATGATAAGCACTTTGTAGGTGGGCAGTTATAGAGACATGCTCTTAGGTTCCTTTCAGTACCGCAATCAGAAACTGGTCTCATCTTCAGCGCAGGTCGAACGCCTGTCTTCAGCTTGATTTCCTTCAGCATCGACGAAGGTTTTAATGGGTATCTCAGTACCAACGTCAGTGCCGCTTGTTGTAGCCCCAACTCCACCTGCGAGGGTCTGCAAGTTGCCTGCAGTGCCAGTTTCATCTGCCTCAGTTTCCCCTGCGGTGGTAGGCTGGTTGCTGGCAGTTGCGTTCCGCCCCTTGTCCTGACGAGGCTTGCCCACACGATGGCGTGTCCTGTTCTCCTCTACATCGGCCATAATTGTCATCTCTATAGCAGTGCCGGTTCCACCTGCTGTTGTCACCTCAGTTCTCCTGGTCCGCCGGTTGCTGGTAGTGGTGGTTCCTCCATCGTCCTGGTTAGCTTCGATCAGACCCAGGCGCACCATGATCGCATACTTCCATTCCTCCAACACCTTCCCCGTCATTGTCAGCAGCAGGGTCAGCAGCAGGCCTTGAGAAGCATTCAGCACAATAAAGATGTAGTCGAGAACTGCGATCTTGACGAAAGGAACAATGAATCCCAAAATCCAGGTGAACCCCGCCAGAAACGAGATACGCGTGTAGACCCAGATCTTGCTGATCTCCGAGCGTGGCAAAGCAGTGCTGGCTATCTGAAATGACTTCCGTATGGCCAACAACACAAGAGTGGTGAAGACAAAATTGACCATAAGGGCGCAGAGGACAGGAACACCAAATGCCACCAGACTGGCTGTTGGATTGCCGATCCAACACTGCTCTCCATAACCCACCCTGACAGAACTGCCGAATTCCACAATCACTGTGACAAGGACTATAGGCACCGGCACCAGCCAGGTGTACAAGATGTACTTGTACAGTTCGGCTCTTTCGGAATCCTCACGAAATGTAAGGAAGAGATCTACAGCTAGCACGTTCATGGATGTAAAGGCCGTCAGAATAAAGTAGTGCAGAAGTATTGCATAAACTGTACAGCCTGGTCCGGGAGAGAGGAACACACGTCCCACAAACTGGGTTACGGCAACTGCCATGCATGTCATCATCTGTACCTTCAGCTTTTCCGGGAGTTTTTTCCACTGGCCTGACCTGTAAGTGTGAGCCACAAAACCAGACACGGCAACGTCAGACACTATCACAAGACCCAGGGTTAACCAGTGCTGGACAGGGTCCGAGGTTTGGAGCGTGTCGTTGGAAAAATACTCCAGTAGGCAGTCCCCACAGACTGACGCTTCTGTGTTCAGAATGGCCACCTGCTCAGCTGGGCACGACACGTTAGAACTCAACAGGCGGACACTGCCATTGGGAAGGATTTCGAACTCTTCGGATGTGAAATTCAGAATGGGTCTGCTGCAGTTTTGGAGATGGGAAGTTTTGTTCAAAGAGCCGTGACTTAGGGACGAGAGAGATCGACACGAGTCTACAAATGGGTCGTATAAAGAGTCTGGGGGGCAATGCTCAGGACTGTTTTCGGGACTCTCATCAGCGTTAAAGTTGAACAGAGAAGGTAATGAGATAGGGTTCAATGCAAATATATCTCTCACACTAGCAGAAGGACAACTTAAATGTGTGGCTACCGCAAGGGAAAGTCCTTCACAAAGAGCACAGTGAACGTTTTTATAGAACTTGAAAACGTCAAAAGTTACTCTTTCGTCGTAGGATCTGCAAGCAGTCACATTACAATTTGCATTCGAAATATTGACGACAGGGACAATGCATTGTCTCACATTCAACCGAGTAGGACTGAACTCCACCTTTAGAGTTCCGGTACAATCTCCATTCCAGTTGGGAATGCGGAGTTTATAATGATCGTATAATATTTGTGGAATTCCAATGGGGTTTGTAGGTGAAGCTGTGTACCCAGTACACACAGGTGTGAATCGCCATGTACTGAATTCTTCCGTACTTACATTGTTACAAAGAGCACAGAATATGTTTCTATAGGAGATACTTGTTGAGCTATCTTGCACGGGCATCCGGTAGACCAGGTCACCCGGGTTGTTGGGATCAGCTTGCTTTAAACACTGATCTCTTGTGACGTCGTCCATCCAGTCGTCAGGGCAGCCAGCCACCAGCCAATAAGATCTTCCCTTGTCATATCCCGACAGGCACTTCCACTTTTCATGGTCACGATCAGATGGTTTTTGAGCTGTTGTGTTGAAGTTGCATACCTCTCTGTATTATGAAGGCAAACAATCATCAGGTCACCTCATTAATTGTGCAAATAAAGTCGTCATTTGCATTATTTGCATTTAATTATGTACATCTCTCTCTCAGCTACCTACCTACCAAAAATAATGAAAATACGTTGTTCCTATCTGGACTTCCAAAGATTTGCTTTCAAAGATTTCGCCCGAAGGTCCCCTGCAATTCCAGAACAAGCTGCTAGGGGGACCAAACCCACACCACTTATTCCTGACAGGAAAAGATATCTGTCACCAAAAATTCAAGACCATAGCATGCTCAGGACAAAAGATACAAAAACCGGAAGTTCTGCTGCAGTACCAAGGTCATCCACCAGGAGGCCCATATTTGACCTTGACCTTCGTCTTCCTAAGACTTACCAGCATACCAAATATCATCACAATCCACTAAAGGACGTTATGAAGTTATGCTGACTACAAATAGTGCGGAACACAACACACACACACACACACAGACACACACACAGACAGACACACACACACACACACACGCACACACACACACACACACAGACAGACGCGCCAAAAACAATACCTCCATTTTTCATGGAGGTAATAACCCCAAACCAAAACCTCTGCTTGGAGAGTACCAAAACTCACGTATGGGCACGTATTCCTTTTCTTGCAACAATGTACAATTAGGATGTACCTCTAGAAATATGCTGTCCCCACTGATTGCAATATGTATACAATCTACGTACCCAATGTCGCTACAACAGTCGCTGAAAAAGCTGCAGTCCTGGTCACACTGACACGAGTAAAATTGTTTGTAACTCTGTCCGCACTCTCCTTTACAGGAGCTGTTACACTTTCTGGGAACATAGTCCGACGACGTGGGGTCTACATAGATGAGAAACAGGAAATAGTGAATTAATACTAGTGTTGATGGATAAAGAGTTTGCATTAATTCTAAAACTTTCAAACTGATGTTTAACAATCTTCCTCAATAATGTCCAATGATACAGTAAACATAATCTTATTTGTTGTTAGACTTTGTCCTATCCAATTGCACTATCAAAACTGTTATTATTGCGTATATATGATGATATTGTCATGACTTGCCATGCATTGGTAGATGTGAATGACTCGATAGATGACAGTTAAGGATGATAACAGTTACCCATTTACAACTTATCAGTTGGATACAATAATAGACTTCTTCGAGCTTTCTTACCAGGACATTCCGTCACGTCGCAGTAGCCCCACGTCTCCGTCCCGTTCCTGGTGTAGCACCAGGGCCGGTCCTTGTTGTCAGGGTTACGGCAGAAGTTTTCCTCCAGCCCCGCATCAGGATGAGCCTGCGGTGTGTGGGGATGGCTGTGGGGGAACTGTGAGTCCCATCTCTGACACAGCCGGTCTCCTGCCCTGTGGAATGGGTTACTATAGGTTATGTACTTTATCATGTTAAACTAAATATAGATAAATAATTAATGTATTTCTCAATTTTGTCAAGTTGTTTTTAAAACCTAAGTTAACGTTTTTACAGCCTTTTCTAAATAAGGTTAGTGCATATTTCCAGTTTGCGTTGCAAATCCATACAAAGAGAGTCCTTTGGGGTGCAATGGTTTGCACAACTGATTCGCCGTACTGTAGAAAAAAATGGCACCAAAGCTCAAGCGCTAATCTTACCTATTTATGTGCCCTGTGTAGCTCCTTCCCTTATCGTTAGTGAAGAAGCAACTTGTTGGTAACTCTGAAAATGGAAACAGGACATGTATGTCGTGCCAGTAATGAAATTAGCATGTCCCCCCCCACACACACATACACACACACACACACACACACACACACACACACACACACACACATACACACACACACACACACACACACACATCATCGTGCAAACAACTGCAAACAAACATCTGAAGATATAGTGCTGTATTTGGAAGTTCAGTAAAGGTGAACAGTAATAAACATATTCTAATCAAATCTGATCATGACCTTATTTGCATAATTTATGAGGAAGTGCTAGAATAGTTTTTTTGTTCAGATTAGGCTGTCATTTGAGAATATGATCTACTGATATAATTCATGCAAATGAGACTCTCATTTGCATGAAATTAATGAGTACAAATGTACAAACTGTCCACCGGAAGGATTAATTTGGCGAAGGTATGAGATCGTGGAACTCTAATTACATTCTGTTATTGTTTGATGAGCAAATCAATAAAATCAATCAATAAAATCAATCGGTCCATACGGAATACACCGTGTAGTATTCTCTATGATCTTACCGTCACAGGCGAAGACATCGTCGCAGTACATCCACATGATTGTTGCGTTGTTGGTGTAGCACCACGGTCTGTCCTTCCCGTCCGGGTTCCTACAGTAGTTCCGCTCCAGCCCTGCTGACGGGTAGGCCTCGGGAGTGTGGTTATGGGCGTGGGGGTACTGAGATGTCCAGTACTGACAGAAGTGTTGTTGGTTTCCACGGCCCCTGTAGCTTGCCCCTTTGTCGTGTAGGTAGTAACAGTCTGTGGACATAAAGCTTTACATTGTACCATAGTGTCCAATTGCATTGTACCTTCCTATAATGATTTCGTGCTATAAACACTTTGATGGGGTTGTCAGTAATAACTGTGTGAAAAACTCACCACAGTTCTTCTCATCACTGTTGTCTCCACAGTCATCTCTGCCGTCACATCGAGCAAACGGGTGGAACAGGGCACCATTGTCACAGGCAGAAAGGGCTGCGGGTTATAAAACAGTTATAAAATTGTCTATCCAACTGCAGGTGTTTGTGAGCCATTGGTTGTATACATGATACACATGACGCGCACACTGCTTGAAATGTTGGATTTACCAATGGTAGTAAATGCCAGTAAAGTCAGGTAATGTTTACTTTGTAAACAGTACCGGACTTTACAATGGTTGTAGACAAAAGTCCGGCACTGTCGGACTTGAAATTACCGGATCTGACTTTTATTTACTATCATGTCCGGTATTGTATACAAAGTAAACGACTTTACTTGAATTTACCACCATCAGTAAATCCTACTTTTCCTGCAGTGGCAGAAAAAACAACACACATATCAGGCACAAAAAGTTAGGAAAAGAAAGAAAATACCATAGACACAAGCGGAAATATGCTCACGACATGATAGCTCATCACTGCCATCCGCACAGGACCTTATGCCGTCACAAAAAGGGTCTTCGGCCTTCTGAATACTCCACTCAAGACATCGTCCATTGCTGCAGCCTATCTCGCCTTTTCTCTCACCTGCGTTGAACATTGAGGCATCACGTTTCAACATCTAACTACAATATGCCACTGAGCCGTATTGAGAGACTTAGACAGTCCTTATTTATCCCTAGAACTTAAAAAATCATGCAGGAGTAACTGTTTTAGATAAGGACACTATGGACTTTCATAAATTCTTACCTCTGCAGAATATTTGTATTTTAATCAGTCTTGCTCCTTGTTTTAAAGTTTATTTATACCATTATCGGATATTATGAGTAACCGTCAATATTTTAATGCTGAATGTAAGTACATGCAAGTGGAGGCAGACCACGCGCAACCTACGTACATGCACCAACTGTGTGAGGATACTGTACTCTGGAAGACCTGTTTTGTTACTATGGAGGATGGGAGGGGGGTAGAGGAAAAGGTTCATGAACATCCGTGAGACTCCGGATGATGATAATTTATGTTCCTTGTATCCAAATACAAGGGAGATCGATGAAGTATTTACATTCAAAGTCATCAGATACATAGGAAAGTAGCAATTACTTGTTTTAAGAAAATAGCGAATAGTGTTCACATATTGTTTTATGGTTAAAGTGGAACCAAGGGCAATTTAAGTCCAGTTTAAAAAAAAAAATGAATAATCATATAAAGGTGGCAAGGTGAATTTAAAGGTTCTGGGTTCGAATCCCTAGTATATATAATATAAGTGTTTGAAACATGTGATGAAACGGTGCTCTCTGCGTTTCTACTTACAGCAGCGTAGTTCGTCCGTATTGCCTCCACAGTCGTCTCTACCGTCACATACTTGGGCCAGGTCAAGGATGGTTCCATTGGCACAAATCCCTTAGGTTTGATTGAAGTAAAGAAAATTGTTTGTTTGTTTGTTTGTTACCTGCATGAAAAATGGAGGTATTGTTTTTGGCGCGTCTGTCTGTGTGTGTGTGTGTGTGTCTGTGTGTGTGTCTGTGTTTCCGCACATTTGTAGTTAGCATAACTTCATAACGCCTTTATGGATTATGATGATATTTGGTATGCTGGTAAGTCTTAGGAAGACAAAGGTCAAGGTGAAATATGGCCTCCTGGTGGATGACCTTGGTACTGCAGCAGAACTTCCGTTTTTTGTATCTTTTGTCCTGAGGAAATTCTATAATTACAGTGTTTTACATTATAGTAATTTCATACATGTAATGTATGTAACCTATGGCAGATGGAACATCAACAGATGCTTATTATGCAAATGATGACCTAATTTGCATAATTAATGCAAAAATTCTATGATTTATTAATGGTGACTGATGGGAATGTCATACTTGGGATATCTGTAAGTTTATCAAAAGTTAACATCACGATGCATATATTATGTTAATGCAGAGGTCATTTGCATAATTAAAGAATAAATTTACATTTATCTATCAAGCCCATATTTCAAGGAGGTATGGAGTCTCGGAACTCTTGTTTGTTGGAAGTAATCTCCGTAATTAAATCCTGCAGTACAGTTTGATTTGCCTTTGAAAATTGTTGACCTGGAAGTCTAACTTTTCAAGAATCTAGTTTCCGATAAAGTTATTTACCCCTTCCATTCTGTACATGTGTTCTTGTTACGTACCAGTTTTCCTGTAGTCGACACACGCCAGACAGTCACAATGGGCCGCAGTGTTGCCGCACCAGTTGTCCGAGGAGCAGCATGGGAAATTACTGCCAGGGTCGCATTCGGCGGCCGGGGTTTGGTCTTCAGCCTTGTAGCCTCGTCCGCAACGCAAATCTTCACGCCACTTCTTAGGAGCTATTAGGTCATTAAGTCATTAAAGGTTTCGCTCTATCAGTCACCTTTCATACGTACACAAAAAGTTGTCTAATCTAATTCTGTATATGGCATCGTTTCGGTGTCAATTTTTTTGTCTTGAAAGGGTACATTGAATAAACATTACGGCGTCTATATATGTTGCAAATAGCATGAAAATTAAAATCCGAGAGAGAAGCAATAACAAAGTACATATAACATGTGAATGCACAAATCTGATGGGAATATTCAGGGATCAACTAGAGGTAAAAGACAATTTCGTAAGTAGCTACTAGTATTTCGCTGAAAGCTTTACTAGGTACCCATTGCCCAAACACCTACGTCCCACTCAAAAATCATGTTCAAAATACGAGATATCATACCTTTGCACATCGTTACAGTACCGTACAGAGCAGCCAACCTTCGTTGTCCCAACCCAACCTACCTACCAAATATCATATAGATACATGCACCACACCCCATGATGTATTAAACCGTTAAAGAATTCACAAAGCCTTATAAATGGTGTACCTAACACTCACTAGTAACCTTCTCGGCGAAGCTGCTAGTGCTAAATAACTTGAACGCCTCACCACAGACTGGCACTTCGCAAAGCTCCCATCGCACTGACGGATTCGTGGTGAAGCACCAGACTCCGTGTTCACCATCCGGATTCCGGCAGTAGTTCTCCTCCAGTCCGGATGACGGGTAGTTATGCGGTGTCTTGTCGTGTACATGTGGAAACAGCCTGTCCCAGCGTTGACACGTCTTGCCTGTCCTGGTCACAGAGACGGTTCCTCGGTAGGATGCCCCATTCCCCACCTGGCAGGGTTCTGGTAGATGAAAAATGCAGCTGAACTGTACTTTCTATCAGAAATATTGGGCAAATTTTCGATTGTCCAACTCCTGGTTTCAATGAATGAGCAATTCACAAACTGAATGTAACACCAATTCTAATGACCTACCAAATTCACAGATGAAACCAGCGTCTATCTTACAGCCCACGTCGTTCCACTTATTTCTGTTGTTGAAGGAGAGGTCGCCCGAGTTGTCGGGGAAGTACACCGCACATCGCTCCTTTCCTCCGCTCGGTTGTCCATCGGCCCAGTTTTCCCATTCCATCGGCTGGGAACCGCGTGCGTATGTCCACGTTCCGTCATCTGAACGGGTCATCCCGAAGTAGAAAACCTTGGTCGTGTCCGCGGCGTTCTTTAAAGCGACCAGGAAGTCGTTGGTGGCGCTGTCACCAGGCATGGCCAGAGTGCTCCCTTCTTCTCGGCAGGTCGCCAAAGCCTGGTCGTACTCACTCTCCGTGTCGTAGGCACGGTAACATCGGCGTGTGTGTGGGAGGTGCCAGTAGCCATTGGAACACTCTCCAACTGTGGTCAACATGTGAGGACAAAAACTCTTTCGGGTTAGGCATGTAAGTACTTATATTACCCTTATTATTGCCATCCCATGCCAAATTTCAGGTCATTCGGCTGAAAAATGGCAGAGTTGAATCCCTTTAAACAAATGACAGGAAGAGGAGAAACATGAGGGAAAACAATATATTTATTCCATACTATAGTATGAGTGAAATGTAACTAAAAAAGTACAGAAAACAAAATAATTAAGAATGACAAATGATGTAAATGATATCGATAATGGAACGGAATTCGCATATCAATGTGTTATGAACAAAATTTGAAATTAACAACAATTGACACACCAATAACCATATTCAGTACCTGTAATAACCTGGACTTCGCACAGCGTCAGGATTCGAGAGGGGCCAGTCAGATGAACGCCCACATACCGTCCTGCCATCCACCGACACGGGATGGAAACGGTCGGCTTCGTCACGAGGATCTGATGATCACCTCCACACCTGGGGTTCTCGCTGACCTGGTCGGAGTCCCCGATGTGGATGTTGAAGGGGTTGAGTCGTTCCGAACAACAGTCCATGCGGTTGAAGATGACCACTCTGTAGATATTGTCGAAGCCATTGCAATTATAAAGTATGATACACTTCAGGATGAAAGTTGTTAAAGCTTATATATATGAGACACCATGCATGCAAAACATGGTAACGTGTAATTTACATCTTGAATCTCTCCTATGTCAGTTCTTCTTTGACTCACTGGTTTAAATATATCGATTCAAAATGAAAGGACGTCGTTGCCGGCCATGCCCCTACATGTCAATCATCACACCATTTCTAGTCAACCGTTTCCTGTACTGTTTAATTATTACTGTTTTAGTATGCTGTCTTTCGAATTCGTTTTGCTAAATACGCTCATCTCGTGTCCATACGTACCTGTCAATAATATACGATCGGCCGAGATCCACCCACCAGCTAGGACCAGTCTCCTCCTGTGTGTGTGTACAGGTGGCAGTGCCGTAGTACATGTAGGTATTGGTGAGCCCGTCTACAGCAAGGCTGGCAACCCCGGGTCCATGCGTCCCGTTAAGGGTGCTTGTCTGGAACGCCGTCTTCCTCAGAGCGACATTAAAATCTACCACGAACGAAGGATATCGTCAATTACGAAAGACCAAAAGTACAAGTTCAACAAGGCTTCATCGGGTCAGTTTTTACCGTTCAAAACCAACTTTTCACCGTTCAAAACTCATTTTTCACCATTCAAAACCTAATTTTTTCATCATTCAAAAGCCAATTTTCATCCTTCAAAACCCAATTTTCATCTTTCAAAACCCGATTTTTCATCCTTGAAGTATTTCCATCTGTACATCAGAGTTCTATGGCTAAACGCATTCGATGCAATATAATGGCAGCAAAACTGGAACAAGGCAATCTGCATGATATATTGACACATACTATCCCACATTAGCACATTTCCATGATTTTTTTTTTCATACTTTGGGCATTTAAAATAGGGCAGAAAAAAGCGCTATGATGAATCTTTTGGTACCCGGAAAATCGGCACAAAAATCCTACCAGTAACCGTTTTTCGTCACAATGTTGGCATTTCTGCTCCATGAATGTCAATATAGTACATTGGGATAGTGTTGTCTCAACGTGGTATGTAGATAAATAACTATAAACTATTGGCTTTGTAAAATCTGGTTTTCAAGCCCTAAACACTGCACTGGGCAAGTTCTGTACGCAGAGCCATGACCTGTTTATCACCCAATGACTTGGCCATCCTTCTGCTGCCTTACTCCGGGCAATATTGGCAGGTTCTACTTCCCACCGCAAGGTGGCGCTTGTAGGTAAACATCTCACGGTTGTGTGTAAAGGACGATCGAATTACCAGCCTGATGAAACTGTTCATGGTTTACTGGCGTATGCTGATCTAGATATTCTATAGCTGGGCCAGCTCCTTTTTGTAATGCCTATTGCGTAAATTCTGGAAGTAAACAGCCAGGGTGAGAGGTCCTGACATCATCTGCAGCTCACGGCGCAAGTAAAGTATCTTTTTGTCAGTGTCGGACGATGCCGTGCGAGAAGCAACAACAAAGTATGTTGGAATGAGAGTACATAGATAATTCATGGATGGCGCAGCACCAATACATACTTACATACTAGAATCACACCGCCCTGTTTTTCTCAGACCATTGCAGATTAATTAGCTGACGTCACAGTTGAGCTGGGTAGCACTAGGCCCAAAATGATCCAGATTGGAATCACCCTTGTAGTGCCTACTTAACAGGCTTAAAATATGTCTTTCTGTGCAAATTTTGACACAAGAAGACACGGGCAGGGTCCAAGCTTTCCCAGTTTGGCAAACATTTGTTAAATTCATCGTTTTTTTTTTAAATATTTAACGCAAGGACAGACCCGAGTGGTAGTCTGGTACTCAGTGCGGATGGATATAAGCAGGTACTTGGGTGAAAAGCAGGTAGAGCTTTCAGTTGTTCAAGTTAGAAGTGGACAAGCCCCTTCTTCTTTAGTTATCAAACAGAAAGTGCTGGCATGAAGCAATGTACAAATAGACGACGTTTAAATTGTCATATAAACATTCATCTAATCCATGCGCCAGATCGAAGCCGTTTAGCTACATATGGGGGCCCGCATGCCCTATTCCGTAGAGCGTAAACGGCCGTAGAGCGTAAACGGACCGCTCTAATTCAACGTAGCATTTTGCGCAGAGCGTATTCGCCGTTTTAATTCTACGTAGAGCGTTTCAGCCACTTGGAATTTATCGTAAAGCGTAATCGAGACATTTCCTGAATTCAGCGTAATACGTAGCCGGCTCTCAAAATTTAGCGTAGAGCGTTGTCGGGACCCCCCCCCCCTATGCAGTCCCCAAAATATGAAACTTGCAAACTATCATCGCAAAAATACTGTGTTTCGAGTATAAATGGTTCACAGTTTTTCAAGTTTTACAAAACACAAGCGTAAACTGAGTGAAGATATCATTATGTTGTGTGTTAATGTTCAGTTACGGAGTTAAGGTTAACGATCGTGGATAAATAGCTGGTTACATACCCATTGTCGCAAAAGCACTAGACAGGCAGCAGCACAGGCCCAACAGCAGCGCCAGTGATGTTCCAGTAGTCGACGGGTTCCCCATTCTACCGCGAGACGACTAACTCGTGCTGTACCAGTTCTTCTTAGTAAACTAAGCAGTTGAAAAGTTCTGGTGCACGAGCTTGGCGTAACATGTACGGACAGATTCTACCAGCGACTAGTATTAAAAAGTGGTGCGTGTGGTATTTCATGTGCGGCACGAACACCTACGTCATAGGGTTACCATGGTAACCACTACCAAATAAGGTAAGACCTCAGGTAAAAGTTGCGTGAGTGAGAGAAGTAATTGAATATTCATTTCATTAGTGTCCTCCGTCTGGTATTTTCTGACGTGTTGCTTTGTGAATTATTCAATGACAGGAGTTCTGTGCCTGTCTGTACCCGTACCGGAATGTCCACGCGTACAGTATTAACAACACATTCTGTGTGTCCATTAAAAATAAGCACGTAGTGAGTCCAAATGAGTCATTTCCTGTATTAGAAACGGTTCTTCGGTTAAGGAGAGCTAGCATATTGTTTTTCTGATAGATACTAGGAACACGCAGATTCACAAGTCTTACGTTATTCAGCCAAGCACAGCAGGTTGCCCCTACTGTTCTCGATACGCGTTTACCGTGTCCAAGATGGAGATTAAATCCCGCTCTCTAAATCCACTGAAACTAATCCGTATGGAAAAGCAGCGGGGTTGTTTCCACCAGACTTCTTTTGCAGGCTGAATAAATCGTAGAAATCGGCCTAAAAGGGCATTAATTGGCAAGAGAACGTACACGTACTACTGATGTAGCCGACCGTCGACGATCAGGCCAATTTGATGGTCGATGGCCACCTTCCCTCGCCAATTAATACCATTTTTAGGCCATTTTTCTACGATTTATTCAGCCTACAAAAGACGTCTGATGGAGACTACATTTTGAGAGGGATAGGGACGACGGCTTCTTGAGGTTTGATTTAGTACGCAGGTCTACGCGTAACGAAGAATTATTCAGTAACGCTTAACGCTGAATTTATGGTGACAAATAACGAGCTACGTAGAATTAGAACGACCAATAACGCTTCACGAGGAATATACCGATAACGCTTAACGATGAATTAGAGCAATCATACGTCAATATAATGTTTATTTCTCTTTTATTTCAAATACACGTTGCGACCAAGCAGCAATATACAATATACATGTTGACGGAATCTGACTATCGATGAGCATACACACAAACAAAACAAATCCTAATTATATCATTTGAACTTTTTTTTCGATTAATCTGTACATTGGAGAGTTAACATACACACATAGTGCTTAACTTATACGTGTGTATGGGATCGGTCCGTCTACGCTCTACGTAGAATCAAAACGGACGATTACGCTCCGACGGAAAAGAGCATACGGGGACCCCCTTAAAATGATATTGACACAACAGCTTTAAAAACAACACGCACTTTGACTAGTGTTGGCAACTTCAATTATACAGTACATCCAGATCACGACCTTGACAACTACATGTACTTGAGACTAAGCCATATTTTCATGTTCAATCATAGATTGCACGCATGCCCGTAGCCAGGATTTTGAACAGTGGGGTTCTTCCCACTGCTTGAGGGGACCTCGAGCTCCTAAGGCGCGAGGTTCCTAGGGGGTCCGGGTGCATGCTCCCCCGGAAAATTTTAAAAAATGAACCTTCTAAAATGGCATTTTATGCATTTTATGCATGAGAGGATTTCCAAGAAAAAATCATAGATAAATTTTTATTCAATGACAGGGAGCAGTTTTTCTACGATTCCAGTCCAGTCCGTCTTTTCCATCTGGCTAGGGGCATGGCACGTACCTATCGAAGATGTCCAATACACGGGCAGCTACTAGGAACCAGGCAGCTAGTCTCGAAGAAGGAGAACAGAGAATGAGATACTGCTAGCCTGGGTACCATCCTGGTTAATATAGTTACGTCCCCTCCCGGACAGGCTACCGACCAACAGGTTGGATATCCTGCCTTGCCTGATCCATTTATCCGGATAAGTCTTACTTTGCCCTGTTTCTACTATGCGAAGCTGAAGGTTGTGAATGACTCTTCCATCCTCCCGAGGCAGGGTCGGTGGCGCGGTATTCTTACAACCGGTTGTCGTCATGGGAGAATACCGCACCACCGACCCTGCCTCGGAAGGATGGACTCTTCATGACAGCCAAATATCTGATGTAGACTATCGCATGCCTCACAGGACTCCGTACATATGCTCATGTGAACAGATCTAATTTATATTAAACTGCCCTGCATATTTAAAACATTTCGAAATGTAGATAAGTATAACTGAGTTAGAAGTTAAATTGCGATCCAAAAGGAAACTAATATTTGCTCTGGGCGTCACAAATAATTATTTAGACCCAATGATATGCATCTAACTCCCATGCAAATTTTGAAAAATATGCTAAATCTAAATCAGGACCCAACAGGTACTACCTAGAGTCACTAGCCCTGGGCACCTT